CCTTCTTTAACAGTCTTTATTTTAAAGTCTTTATTTTAATCTTTTGTGTCTGAAATAAGTATTTGCTACTCCAGTTTTCTTTGGTTTTCATTTGCATGGAATATCTTATTCCATCCCCTTACTTTCAGCCTGTATGTGTCTCTAGCTCTGAAGTAAGTCTCTTATAGATAGCGTACTTATGGGTTTTCTTTTTGTGTCCATTCAGCCAGTCTGTGTCTTTTGGCTGGAGTGTTTAATCTGTTTACATTTAAGTTAATCATTGGTATGTATGTTCTTATTACCGTTTTGTTAATTGTTTTGGGATTTTTTTTTGTAGGTCTTTTTTTCTCTTCTTTTTGTTCTCTTTTGTGATTTAATGACCGTACAGTTATATTGGTTTGCAGTTACCATGAGGTTTTGGTATAGAAGTCTATATGTATACAAGATAGTTTTAAGCTGCTGATCTCTTAATTTCAAATGCATTTAGATACCCTGCATTTGTACCCTCCTCCCCTCACGATTACTTTTCTTGTTTCTAGTTGTAGCTTTTTCTTTTTTACCTAGAGAAGTTCCTTTAATATTTGTTATAAAGCTGATTTAGTGGCACTGAATTCTTTTAGCTTTTGTTATTTGTGAAGTTTTTGATTTCTCCATCAAATCTGAATGAGAGCCTTGCTGGATAGAGTATTCTTGGTTGTAAGTTTTTCCCTTTCATCACTTTAAATATATCGTGCCACTCCCTTCTGGCCTGTAGTTTCTGCTGAAAAAACAACTGATAACCTGATGGGAGTTCCCTTGTATGTTATTTGTTGCTTTTCTCTTGTTGATGTTAGTATTTTCTCCTTATCTTTAATTTTTGTCAATTTGGTTTCCATGTGCCTCTGTGTGTTCTCTTTTGAGTTAATTCAGTGTGGACTCTGTGCTTCCTGGACTTGAGTGACTTTTTCCTTTCCCAAGTTAGGGAAAATTTCAGGTATTATTTCTTCAAAAATTTTCTCAGGTCCTTTCTCTCTCTCTTCTTTTTCTGGGACCCTTAAAATGCAAATATTAGTGTACTTCATGTTGTCCCAGAGTTCTTTCTCTTAAACTATCCTTTCTTTTCATTCTTTTTTTTCTTTTTTCTGTTCTGCAGTAGTGATTTCCACTAATCTGCCTTCTAGGTCATTGACCTGTTCTTCTGCCTCATTTAGTCTGTTTTTGGTTCCTTCTAATGTGTTATTCATTTCAGTGATTTTAATTCTTTGCTAAAAACTTCACTCTATGCAACTATACTCCTCCCAAGTTCTCTGAACATTTTCACCATTATTACTCTAAACTCTTTCTTGGGTAGACTGCCTCTCTCTTCATCACTTATTTCCTCTTCTGGGATTTTTATCTAGTGCCTTGGCCTGGAAGGTATTCCTCTGCCACCTCATATTGTCTAAATTTCTTTTCGTATTTTTATATAGGTTAGTTACATTTCTCAGTCTTGGAGAGGTGGCCCTCTGTGGGAGATGCCCTATGCATCCCAGCAGTGCACTCCTCTCCTGTCACCCAAGGGCCAGTGTCCAGCAGGTGCCAGGGTAGAGGCTGGCCTGCATTTGCAGATTCCTTCCACAAGCTTTGGAATTGTTGCTTTCTTACTTCTGGTATCTGCCCCCTCATGGCTGAGGCTGGACTAGAGGCTAATGCAAGTTTCCTGGCAGGAGAAGCCAGTGCCTGCCCACTGCTGGGTGGAGCTTGGTCCTGGCCTTCTGGTGGATAGTATCTAGAGGTGGCTCTGGGCTTAGGAAGCCTACTGATGGGTGGCGCTGTGTTCCCACCCAGTATCTTATTTGGCTTGAGGCTTCCCAGTCCTTAAGCCTACAGGCTGTTGGGTGGGGCTAGATCTTGGTGCTAATGACCCAAGCAAGATGTCAGTCTCCAGGAAAGTTCATGTAGATGAACACTCCCTGAATTTCTACCACCAGCTTTTATGTCCCCAGTGTGTGCCACAGCCGCCCCCTAGATCCTTAGGAGACTTTCCAAAACCAGCAGGCAGGTCTGGCCCAGATTCCTACAAGTCACTGCCTCTGCCCTTTGACCTGGTGCATGCGAGATTCTATGTATGCTTCCCTAGAGAATGAAGTCTCTGTTTGCCCCAGTCCCATGGGGCTCCTGGAGTTGAGCCCTGCTGGCCTTCAAAACCAGATGTCCTGGGGTCTCCTCCTCCTTCCAATGCTGGAACCCCAAGCTGGGGAGCCTGATGGGGAAAGGTCGGAACTTCTCAGTCCTATGCGAGGGCTTCTGTGGCTTAATTATTCTTTAGCTTGTAGGTCGCCCACACATGGGAAATGGGGCCCAATTATATCGTGAGCATACCCCTCTTACCAAGTCCTGCTGTGCTTCTCTCTTTATGTTTCCAGTTAAATAAGATCTTTTTTGCCGGGTTCCAGTTTTTTTTTTTTTTAATGGTTGTTTAGCAGCCAGTTGTGGTTTTGTTGTAGCCCTAGACATCTGTTTCATCAACTGATTTGCCCAAACTGCTGTGTGCCCCCCACTGCTGGGGCACCGTCCTTTCAAGCCCCATTGTTTCTCCAACTACCTGTAACCCACTCTGGGTTCTGCCGCCCAACTCTGTGTTCACAGGCTGGTGCTCAGGCTTCTTTGTTCTGCTTGCAGACCTATGGTTAGATGCCTTGCCCTCTCACCACTGCAAATCAGGGATCAGGTGAGCATCTACGCACCTGAATTCATTCGTTCATTCACTCGCTCATCAGTCATACTTTTTTTTTGAGCGTGTCATGGAAGCCAGGCGTGGTTCCAGTACACACGAAAGGTGAGCTAAGTGACTGTAGGTGGGAAGAAACTGAGGCTTGCCCTCTAGTGAGAAGACAGACCATAAATAAGTAGATAAGACATATGTCAAGTGATCAGAAATGTGAAAAGAACATCAGAGAAAGAGATGGAGAGTGACAGAGTGGGTGGTGCTTGTCCAGAACAAGTGGTCCAGAAAGGACCTTTCGACAAGGTGATGTTGGAGTAGGTCCCTGGGCATCTCAGGGTGGGTCCTTCCAGTCAGAGAAGGCAGTGAGAAGCAAGACTCCGAGGCCTGGCTATGGCTGTGGCTGTTGGAGCAGCAGCCCCAAGGTTGTTTGCAGGGAGGTAGGCGGGTGCAGAGGACTGGGGACAAGCTCGGGTGGAACCCTGTCGGGCCAAGGCAAGGACCTAGCATTTTATTCCTAGTGAGATGGAAAGCCACTGCAACATTCGAGAGGGCCGTGCTGGCTGCTGCGAGAACAGACTGGCAGGCTAGTTGGGAGACTTCCACAGCAAGCCAGGCAAAAGAAATGGCGAAGTATGTGCAACAGGCAGACACCGGCCCCAGGCACTGACAGGAGGCCGGCCGCTTGGCCCGCAGCCCTTTGGCGCCGCTCCTTGTCGGGGGTGGTCAGCAGGTGCCGGGGAAAGGGAGAGGTCTGGCCAGGTCTTACCTGGCTTGACTAAAACCAAGCGTTTGTTCATAGCAGGCGTTTTCTTAAATACATTTCATTTTATAATATCCTTTATTTAAGAACTGTACTTGTTTAAATCCGAAGCCTGGGTAAGAAGTGACTTCCTTCTAAATTTCCCACAGACTGTTGTAGCAGAATTTAAGAGTGAGAGAAGTGCTTCCTGGCAAGTCTTATGCAAGCGACATGCTGCTGTCCGCCTTTTCTGCCTTCACCCACTTTGCTTCTCTTGGACAGAATGTGCATGTCCCTGTGACACGTACATGGAACAGAGTCACGGGAAGGGCTGGGTGACGTGGGCCTTGCGAAAGCCTTGTGAATAACAGATTGATGAGGAAATCCGCTCCTCCATGATTTGCTTAACTTTCTTCTGTGTGTTTCAAAGGTCAGAACAGCAACTACCGAAGATCTTAACTGGCTGCTCCCCTGGACGGGCACTGCCACGCCTTCTGTGACTGCTCTCCTTCCGGTCGGGCAGTCACGGCCCCTCCTCCCCTGCTGATGCCCAGTTGACAAATCTTGGAGAGGCCTTAGTGGGCAAAGCCCCGACTGGTGAGCTCTCCCTTTCTTCCTGCCTTCCTGCCATGAAGTCACTCTATGGGGCCACTTCTCATTTTAAACCCGTGTGGGTTCAAATGCCTGGTGACCCTGAGTGGCTCCCGGTGACAGCCTGAGGAGACCTCAGGAATGGCCCTGACACTCCCAACGTTTCCAGCCAGCCACTCACTCAGTGTGCCTGAGGCAGAGGTCCCTTGATCTCACTTCATCCTTGGGAGATTGGAATTTTCCCTTTCAAAATAACCTTTATTATTTTTTTACCATTATTTTAATCTGAATAAATCAAGGGTAAGGGAGACAGGTGAATATTGCATGGGGGGACTTGCCTCAGGCTTGACTAGATATATGATAAAAATAAATCAACTGAAACAAGTTAAGCACAAATTTAGCCAGTTTTCTTCAAAGAAGAAAGAATTATCACAAAATTACAACTACCAGATGTAACTTTTAATTCAAATTCTTCATAAACAATTCTGATTTCTTCTCAGTCACAACTTTTAAAACTAGTAATAAAGTTGAATAGCTTGGGTTATAAGATTTTATCCACTTTAAATAAAGATGCCATATAATACTTTATTGTGGTTCACAAATATCAAAGTGCCTCTATATGGCTTCGGTGATTGCTATACAAGCCCTCAGTAGATAAGGGTCCTCTAGGTTTAAAAGTTAATTCCAACGTTGAGAAAGAAATACGAGGTGCAGCGACGTTAAGGTTCAAAGGCAAATGTTTAAGACGCCCACACAGCACCCAAGGAATCGGAACGCAGGTCTTTGTCGAAGGCCTGCTCCCCACCCCCACTCCAAGAAGACATTTAAGTTATGACTGAAATCAGCTCTGCACATCAGCAAATCCATGTGATGGGTATGCTTTCTAATAAGAGTTTGAAAGTTTTTTGAAATCAAAATATTTTCACTTGAAAATTTAAAAAATCTGTATGTTACTATTCCAATGGCATCCACACAAACTAAAAAGGTAACAAGAAACAGGTAAAATTAAGTTAAATGATAATTTATTTAATTCAATATATCCAAAATATTACCATTTCAACATGTAATCAATATTAAGTATTAATGAGACATTTAACCTTTTTTTCATACTAAGTCTTCAAAATCTGGTGTGCATTTTACACTTTCTTAATTTGGATGCTAGGTTTTCATTCAAAAAACTTGCTCTGCATTTAGATTTCATAAAATTTATGTTTGCAAAAGATGATTCACATACCCAAGTTATTCCAAACATACTTAAAAGTTTTCCAGTAACTGAGTTGAGAATCTGTGCTTAAATTAAGTACAATTTAAGAAAATTAAAAATTCAGTTCCTGGTTGTGCTGGCCACGATTCAGGTCCTCAGGACTCACACATGGCGCAGCAGTGGTAACTCAGAGCACCACAAGCCTGTTGGCTTAGGGTGGCTGTGAGCAGAATGGTGTTCAGAGCAGACTGGCTTGAATCTCTTCTTAAAAGTACATAACTTTTTTGTAGGTTAAACTTTTCACTGTTCTCATCATTTTATACACAGTTACATTTTTTCTTAATTATATTTTCTCACAAGATGCCATGTCTTCCAGTAAACTTTAAACTGCATTCAGATTTTATGTATGTATAAATGCTGCTTGGTGGATTATGAAGTGGTTTAAAATGATGCGAATTCTAAAATGACCCAGTTGGTTGTGCATTCTTCCGCAGGGCAAACATTACCACAAAGTGTTAAACCATCTCCTGAAAACAGTGTTAAAAAGGAGATCCCACTATATTCTTTACAAAATAGTGATTCATTATTCCTTGAATATTTATTTAAATGAAACAGTTCCTGAAAGTCAAAGTTAAAAAAAAATTTTTAATGCCTGAATGCCCCAATTAACTTCATGATCTCTTTACCAGCAGAACGTTTAAGCAATAAATGCTGCACACTTAGGTACTGACCGCATGACAACAGCTACAGAATTTCTTGTTTCACTTAAACCTGCGTGACCCTTGAAATGATAAAGCCCACTGATTAAAAGAGATGATCATATCTTTACCAAAGTGAGTCATTAATCCTGTGGTCAATCTGCTGCAAAAGCAGAGTGAGAATCAAACACTGGCTCCGATGAAGCGTGTGTGAAGGGAGGCTGTGTCCCTCCCTACACCTTGGCCCTCAGGCTTTTGCTTTGGTCCCACAGCTCCATCTTTGCCACTGCCGAGAGGTGGACTTCGTCGGGCCCATCTGCTATGCGCAAGGTGCGTGTTAGGGCATACCTGGAGGGACACACAGAGCAGGATGGCAGGACTTCCCAAAGAGGAGTGTGAAGCTTTAACATCATCACTGATTCTAAGCCAAGACTATCGTGTTTGGAATCTGGCCAAGGCAGTGATCAGAAAAAGAGCACAGGGAAAATCAAGGAAAGTAAACCCAAGGGCTTGAGAAATGCTATTTTAAAGTGCCCCTCACTGGGGAGTGGAATCTTAAAGGGCAATCGGTCAAACTGCAGCAGTGCGTTTCAAGGTCAACAACAGATCTCCTGAATGGCAGTGCGGCTCTCAGCAATCCAGGGAGCCTCTGCCTCCTGCAGGGGAGCAAGGACTGCTGCAGTGGGCTTAGTCGCAGCCTTGGTGCGCTGTAAGTACTCGAAGTTGCTAGAACTAAGAGTTACCTTAGGTGAGCCACAGGCAGCGAAGTGTAAATATATAACATTTATATACTATAAATATGTAGTACTACATACATAGTTCTTTCTTAAGGTTAAAAGTTGATGGGACACTAGACTCTAATCTCCAGGGTGACAGGGAAGGTGGCACCATGCCCAGTGGTGACAGGCAATGCAGAGTGTTCCTTCTTGACTCCCAGCAACCACAGCGCGGACCGAGTAGGTTTAACGGAGGCCACGGGGGTGGTAAAGCCTGGCTCTGGGCTCCCGCTGGCCGGCTCTGCTCCCGGCCCGCCCTCCATGTCAGGGCGTTATTTACAGCCCAGGACCCTCAGTGAGTCCCCTCCGCGTAAAGGTGAACACAACTGGGTGAAATGACAGTTGTAACCATAAGAGCAACTATTTATTGGCACTAAGCTCTACAGTGAAGTACCTTTATTACTGCAGTTAGCCTTCAGTTACTCTTTATTTTCTCCTTAAACAATTAGTATCAAGGTGCCTGTAGATTTTTAACTCCAAGCCCATCAAATGTAGACGGTGATTAAATGACATCTACTCACATGCTGGCCAGCGGGTAATCCTGGGAAACACCCGCACCGCCACACACTTGGATGGCCCGGTCAATAATTTTGCAGACGGCCCGAGGGGCAGCCACTTTAATCATTGCAATCTACATAAGCAAGATATAAAAAGAACGTTCCTTTCTTAGATAATTCACAATGTGGCAGAATTTGATATTATCTATATTTGCTTTGTGAAATGAAACGGGGGAACTTTCCCACACGCGTCATCCCTGAAACAGGATCTTTGATGAAAGCCAACGGAGATCCGCTAATGCAGCTAATGGCCGTATTTCAGTCAATACAGACCTTCTGGAAAGAGAGATCTCTTCCAAGTCACATTTTATTCACTTATTTACAATTTGCCTTGTTTCCAAAAGGATTTCAGGATTTCACATTCATCGCCTAAGGGATCACAAAAAGTCTTCACTAATCAGTTTTCTCTTAGCATTGCTTCTATAATTAAAGGATTGTGTTCTTATTCTAAATAAGCCAGAAAGATAAGAAGGCAGAGGTGCCTTTTGTGACACATTTACTATATGGCAGCACAGTGCTCTGCATCATTGGGGTCGCTCTTCACTAGAACCCGAGGCCACAGGCAGACAGGTTAGATTCTTTGCCCAAGGTCATGAGGTTAGCAGAAAGTGGCATACTGGGTACAATTCCAAGCCTGAATAGTGTCTAACATTCCCCTACCTTCCTATTGCTGCATCTCAAGAAAGTTGAAGACATTCTGCATCCTGAAAATCATTCCCTGCAGCAGCCCAGTGAAAGGAAAACTAGCAAGTGACACACACTTAAAACGAAAATCACATGGAAGCTTCTGAGTGCCCTCAAGGCACCATGAGACCTGAAATGTCCAGTGAGTGGGAAAAACTGGAGAAGGCTTGGCAGATGATGGTCCAAGGGGCCTCACCTCTTTCTTAGCACCAGCGCTGCCCAGAGTATCGATGCTGTGGGCGGCTTTCAGGGTCAATAAGCGGATCTCCTCAATGGAAATGCGGCTCTCAGCAATCCAGTGAGCCACCACCTCCTGCAGGGGAGCAAAGGGCCGGAAAAACGAGGAGAAGATGAGTTCAGGTGTCTGAAGTCCACTTGTAACACAGGCTTGTCATCTGGTGAAAACATTCTTTATGCTGAGGACTGTTCTCAGGCTTTACTTTATGTATTTTTAAATGGAAGAGTTAACTTGTTTGAGATATCAGCCAGCCACGTGCCTGTGGAATGCTGCAAGTAATACTGGCTGATTTTAGGAAAAAACTTTATTTGCTCAGAAAAATCATTTATTTTGGATGTCCCGATGTCTAAAATCAAGATGGCTGACCTGAGCAACTGTCTCACTATCAGGAAACTCTTGAGCTGGCCCTCCTGAATACTAACTGCAGAGTGCCACTGAAACTTGGTTAAAAGTAAGGTGTGACAATCTAGATAATTCATAAAGCCATTTCAGTGCAGGGATGGTCCAGCAGTCCTTTATTCTGTCATTACTATTATTTACTTAGTGAACATGACTATTTTCTTTGGTGAACAATTCTGTGAATTTTAACACATGTGCAGACTGATACAACCACAATCAGGATACAGAGTAGTTTCATCTCCCCCCAAACTCCCTCATGCTGCCCCCTTTTAGCCCCATCTCTAAGCTCTAGCAACAACTGATTGGTTCTCAATTAATATGCTGCTGCCTTTTCCAGAATGTCACATAAATGTAATCATTTAGCATGTATTCTTTAGAGGCTGGCTTCCTTCACTCAGCACAATGCCTTTGAGTTTCATCCAAATTGTTCAGTGTATCAGCTATCCATTCCTTTTTATCACCGTGTAGTATTCCATTGAAGGGATTTACCACAATTTGTTTATCCTTCACCTGTTGAAGGACATGTGGGTTATTTCCAGTTTTTGATGATTATTAACAGAACTTCTGTAAACATCTGCATATGGGTTTTTGTGTGAATATATCTTTTCATTTTTTAAAGCAGATACCAAGAGTAGAATTGTTAGGTCATGAGGTAAATACTTATAAGAAGCTGTCAGTCTTTTCCAGAGTGACTGCACCATTTTGCACTCCCATCAGCAGTGTATCAGAGTTCCAGATGCTCTCCAAACCATCAGCGCTTGGTATAGTCAGCATTTCTAAATTTTAGCCATTTTAGCAGAACTCTTAGCAAAGAAATAGAAGAAATAAAGAAGAACCAAATGGATATTTTATAACTGAAAAAATATAATAATTTAAATAAAAAGCTCAGTGGGTAGGCTCAAGAGTAGAATAGAGGGGACAAAGGAACAAATCAGTGAACTGGAAGGTAGGACAAAAGAAACTACCCAATCTGAACCACACAGAGAAAACACACTGAAACATTTTTTTTAAAGAACAGCATTAGGGACCTGTGAACTATAACAAAATATCTAGCATTTATGACATCAGAGCCCAGGAAGAAGAGAAAGAACTGAAGAACTATTCAACGGAATAATGGCTGAAATTTTGCAAGAGACATAATCTATAGATTTAAGAGGCTGAGTGAATCCAAAGCAGGATAAACCCAAGAAATCCATGCCAAGGCACATCACAGTTAAACTTCTAAAAACTAAAGACAAAATCTTGAAAGTAGCCAAAGAGGAATGACACCTATCGGAAAAATGTGTGTGTATATGCCAGGAGGAAGTGACAGGGTATTTCTCAAGGGCTAAAAGAGAAGAGTTGTCAACACAGAACCCTATGCCGAGTAAGGGTCTCCCTCAGGAGGAGAAATCAAAACATTCTTAGATAAGGGAAAACAGAGAATTTGTCACGTGTAGACCCAGAAAGAATGGCTAAAGAAAGTTTTCTAAACAGAAGAGTTAAAAGGAGCCTTGGAAAATCAGGAAGAAAGAACACAGTAAGAAAAAAATATGGCTACAGACAATTGGCTTTTCTTTTCCTCTTGAATTTTCTAACCTATGTTTGATGGTTGAAGTAAAACTTGTAACACTGTGTGATGTCATTCCAAATGTACATAGAGAAAATATATGACAATTGTATTATACAGGGATTTAAAGGGAGGTAAAGTTTTTATACTTCACTCAAACTGGTCAAATGAGGACACCAGTAGACTAGTGAGATACATAACTACATAAATATTATATGTGTATATATATATATTTATATATACATTGTATATATTTATAAGCAATATCTAGAGCAACCACTAAAAGAGCCATACAAAGAGATACACTCAGAAACATTACAGATAAAATGGAATTCTAAAAATGTTAAATTAACCCAAAGGAATGTAGGAAAAAGAAAACAGAAACTACAAACAGAACAAACAGAAAACAAAACATAAAATGGTAGACATAAGCCCTAACCTCAATTATTACAAAGACAAAGATTAAAAAACATGACCAAACTATATGCCATCTAGAAGAAATTCACTTCAAATATAATGATGTAGGCAGGCTGAAAACAAAAAACAAACAAAAAAAATACATGCAAACATTAATCAAAGGAAAGCATGAATAGCTATATTAATACCAGATAAAAGTAGACTTCAGAACACAGGAAATTACTAGAGAGAGAGAGGGTCATTATGTAATAAATGATAAATTTTCAGGAAGTCACAGCAATATGTATGCATCAAACAACAGAACTGCTGAATATGTAAAACAAAAACTGATAGAACTGAAAAGAGCAGCAAACAAATCCAACAGTCCTAGTTGAAGACGTCAACATCTCTCTCAATATTGACAGAACAACTAGACAGATATTAGCAAAGACAGGAACTTAACAATACCATTAACCAACAGGATCTAAGAGACATTTACAGAACACTCCACCCAACAACGCAGAGTATGCATTCTTTCCAAGTATCCACAAAACATATAATAAGATAAACCACATCCTAGTCCATAGAGCCAATTGCAACAAGCTTTAAGAAGTGAAATAAAACAGTTTGTTCTGTGAACGTTAATCTTGTAACCTGCTACCTTGCTGAATTCTTCGATCAGCCCTAGTAGTTTTTGTGTGGACCTTTTAGGGTTTTCTATATATAGTAACATGTCATCAGCATATAGTGACACTTTTACCTGTTCTTTTCCAATTTGGATCCCTTTTATTTCTCTCTCTTGCCTGAGTGCTGTGGCCAGGACTTCCAAGAATATGTTGAATAGGAGTGGTGATAGTGGGCAGCCTTGTCTTGTCCCAGATTTTAGTGGGAAGCTTTTGAGTTTTTCACCGTTGAGTACTATGCTGGCTGTAGGTTTTTCATATAGAGCTTTTATGATGTTGAGACATGTTCCCTCTATACCCACTTTGGCGAGAGTTTTTATCATAAATGGGTGTTGAATTTTATCAAATGCTTTTTCTGCATCGATTGAGATGATCATGTGGTTTTTGTCCTTTCTCTTGTTGATGTGATGTATTACACTGATTGATTTGCATATGTTGAACCACCCTTGTGTCCCTGGGATGAACCCCACTTGGTTATGATGCATAATCTTTTTTATGTGTTGTTGGATTCTATTTGCTAATATTTTGGTGAGGATTTTGGCATCTATGTTCATCAGTGATAATGGCCTATAATTCTCTTTTTTGGTAGTGTCTTTGCCTGGTTTTGGTATCAGGGTGATGGTGGCTTCATAGAATGAGTTTGGGAGTATTCCCTCCTTTTCAATCTTCTGGAAGAGTTTGAGAAGTACTGGTATGTGACCACAGTGGGATCAAAAACAGAAGGAAAACCTCCAAACACTTGGAAAGTAAGTAACACAATTCCAAGTGACCCATTTCCATGGATCAAAGAGGAATCCAAAGGGGAATTGAAAAATACACTGAATGGAATGAACATGAAAATATGATACATAAAAATTTGTGGAACACAGGTAAAGTAGTGCTGAGAGGAAAATTTACAGCATGAAATGCATAGATCAGAAAAGGGGAAACTCTCAAATCAATAATCCATGCTACCATGCCAAGAACCTAGAAAAAAGAAAAAAAATAAGTCCGAAGAACGCAAAAAGAAAGGTATGATAGCGTAGAAATCAGTAACATTGAAAATAGAAAAATAGAGAAAATCAGTGAAGCAAAGATCCTGTTACTGTTAAGTCACTGTATTGTATAATTTTATATATTAATGATTAATGTATGTTCTTTGAAGAGACCAATAAAATTGATAGACCTCTAAAAAGACTGACAAAGGAAAAGGAAGGCACAAATAACCAATTTCAGGAATGAAACAGGATGTCACTGAAGACCCTGCAGACATCAACAGGAAAATAGGAGAATGCTGTGAACAATTCTAAGCACACAAAGTTGACAGCTTAGACAAAATAGACCACTTCCTCAAAAAACACAAACTACCTCAACTCATTCAATATAAAATAATGTGAATAGCCCTATAACTATTAAGGAAACTGAATTTTAGATTAAAAACTACCCCCATCCCAAATTTCCAGGCCCAAATGATTTCACTAGAGAACTCTATCAAATGTTTAAAGAAGAACTAACACGAATCTAGATAATCTCTTTGAGAAAGTACAAGAGGTGGCAACACTTCCCAAATCATTCTGTAAAGATGGTATTAGCCTGCTACTAAAACCAGATAAAAACAGTACAGACACGAACACTACTGAACAATATCCCTGATGAATACACGTGTAAAAATCCTTAACCAAATATTAGCAAATAGAATTCAGCAATTTATAAAGAGAATTATACATAATGACAAAGTAGGGTTTGTTCCAAGGATACCAAGCTAGTTTAGTGTGGAAAATCCGTCAATGTACTCTACCATATTAACAAGCTGAAGAAAAATCACATGGTCATACAAATTAATGCAGGGAAAATTTTCATTCAAGACAAAAAACTCTCAGAAAACTAGGTGTAGAGGGGGAACTCGACAAAGAGCACCTATAAAAAACCTACAGCTAACATCATGCTTAATGTCCCCTAAGAAACTGGATCACTCACATACAGCTGGTGAGGACGAAAATGGCACAGCCCTTCTGCAAAAGAGGTTGGTGGTTTCTTAAGAAACTAAACACGCAACTACCATACGACCCAGCGACTGCTTTCTTGGGCATTTATTCCAGAGAAATAAAGACTCAAGTTGATGCAAAACCCTATACTTGAATGTTTATAGCAGTTTAACTGGTAGCAGCTCAAAACTGGAATCAACCGGCATATCCCTCAATAGGTGAACAGCTAAAAACAAAAAAACTACTGATGCACATAAACTGGATGACTCTCCAAAGAGTCGTGCTGAGTGAAAAAAACCAGTCCCCAGAGTTCACATGCTGTATGATTCCATTCTTGAAATGACAAAACTAGAAAAATGAACAGATCAGTGGCCGCCAGGGGTTGGTGAGGAGGCGGGTGAGAGCAAAGTGAGTGTGGCTTTAAAAGGACAACGTGAAGGCTCTTCATGGTGATGGAAATGCTCTGTACCTTGACTGTATTGATGACAATATCCTGGTTCCAATAATCTAACAGTTTGGCAAGATGTTACCATTGGGGGAAACTGGGTCAAAGGTACAAAGGATCTCTCTCTATTATTTCTTACATCTGCACGTGAATCTACTGTGATCTCAAAAACATTAAACATTAGTACTTGCTTTTCATTTGGCTTAGGGAACGTGCTCTGAGTTTCCTCCACTGGTCAGAACTTGGAAGAGAAGCAGGGAGGTAAGTGGAAAAACATGAAGACGAAACCCTACCAGCAACCAAGCATTCAGAATTCACACTGAAACCCGGGAAACATAACAAATGCTTCCAGTTGGCTGTAGTAGGTTGTTTTTTTTTTTAGTTCCCAATTCTAAACATAGAACCGATGTTTATGATGGAGAATAATATTTGTTAAGACTGATAAGCAGATAATTATAGTGCTCCAATTTGAGCCACATTAACTGCCCACAGCCATTCTTATGCTTGGCCAAGTTTGCTGTGGTGTATTTCCTCAACAGTGACTATTTGATCAGTTTCCCTTTCACAGTGATGTGCAATATGACAGCCACTAACTACACGAAATGTGAACTATGCCTACTCTGAATTGAGATGTACTGTAAGTGTGGGACATACACCCAGTTGAGAAGAATCAGTATTTTAAAAGAATATAAAAAAACCTTACTGCTAATATTTTTATATTGATTTCATACTGAAATAGCATTTCAAATATATTGGGTTAAATAAGATACATTATTGAAATCCATTTCTTTTTACTTTTAAAAAACGTAGCTACTAGAAAAATTTAAATTACATTTGTGGCTCACAATATATGTCTACTGAATGGCACTGCCCTAGAGGTTGAAACAAGGCTCAAACTTGTTTAACAATGTCAAGCAAGTTGCCAGCAGTCTGTCTTTTTGATGGCTGTAAAATGGGGTGATTATAACTTCATGAACAGACCCCCGTATACATTTACTTCTTAGCTTTAGAATAAAAGAAAATGTTCTCAGCTGGGTCTCTAAGGACCCTAGATTTGCTGAAAAGCATTAAGTGGGTGCTCTAAGGAGCTGCCAGATTTATTTACTAAGACAGAACTTTGATAAAGAACTTTTTGCTTTAGTGCCTGGAATAAATTAGAAGGCAGCTGGAAGGGGTCTCCAATTTCAGGGAAATGGAATGTTACTTTCACAAACTGCAAAAGAAAAAAAAACCAGCTGGCCCCAATCTTTGTTTACGACATGCTCACACATCTCTTTTGCTTTTGCCAGATCATTCCCCTCGTGCCAAATGCAGCAGGTTTCCAGTGAAGGGAGGCAGAGTGAAGCCCAGGCTTGTTCTGCTTGATACATTAACTTTAAAAAGCAGGGGAAAAACTGCCCTCTAGCAGAGCATTAAAACATCTCTTGTGAAAGCAGCACACGAGCAGAGTGCTTCTGTGTGTTCAGGATGCCTTTGGTGTCCTCCCCTCACCCTGCTCCAGGGTTTGGATGGCAACCTTGAAAAGAGAAAAGAGTAAGAAGTGACAGCGGATGCCATGAGCAACTCTACCGCTCCTACTCCAGCAGCAGCGCTGAGTGGCATCCATGGCCCTGGAAATCTGCGCCTTCTCACCTCCTCCCATGGTGTCCATCAAACAGCTGAAGCCTTGCCCTCCTCGTTTACTAATGGGGCTCCCCACAATTTATTCCTAGGCTTGTGCCATAGGAATGTGTCTTTCCATGAGAACATTGTTACAACTAAATCATAGATACGCCGAATAATATTTCACAAAAAGCAAGCATGGCCTATAGGAACTCACGGTAGAAAATGTACTGCAAAATTTTGTAAGTGTCACAAATGTACTTTACAAAGGGACCAATGTACTCAAATGTACACGTCCGGCAAACACAAATACAATTTTATCCCCGTGAGTTTGACCTAACACTACATGTTAGCAATCATAAGTACTAAATATTTAATAATAGTTTTTCTTGCCTTCTTGAAAGTTAGAAGGGTCTTGCAGGGCATGATTTGGATATCTCACATCTCTGAAAAATTTTCCATTTCAGCTCGAAAGCTCCTTTCAACATTTCTTGTAAGCAAGGAAGTCTGAAATGACAGCTTCTTTTCCTTCTTGATAAATATTCTCTAATTTGGATTATACTGCCCGGATGTAACTATATTGTCTGCTGTGCTTTGTAAACAACAGACTCAGCAGTACATAACGGAGAGATGAGAATTAAAAAAAAAATCATAAACATCCCACCAAATGTTGGTCCCATTTCTACTTGTATTTGCCCAGTGACAGGGCGCTCACTTCTTTCTGAAACAGTCCATTCCGTTTTTAGATCAACTCTCCTTTCACTGAGTTTTAGGCTGCTTTCCTTTATCTTTACACTTATCTGTCCTAATCCCTTCCAGAAAGCCCAAGGGCCAGGCTTCCTTCCTACTTACGACAGCCCTCTCAGATGCACAGAGAGCGCCACCGGACCAGGTTCCCTGCGGAACAGGAGTCTGAGGAAGTCGCAGGAATTGTCCACACTCTGTGCTGAGATGTCTGAAGCTCTTTAGGAGTTATTTAATCTTTCTCAGAGATAACTCTCTCTCATCAGACTATAATTAAATACAGACATAAATACACTTTGCGGAAAAGAATCATCTTGTTTATGCAAAGGAAATCTCTTGCAACCAAGAGACATTTCCTTCGCTGTTCTGGTTCAAGGTTGGAGTAGTGCATTGGGCTACAATAAATTCAAGTAAGTCATTGTCCTTACATGTGAATACAGCTGCTTCTTAAAGGCCACCCTTTGCTTTGCCCGTTCACACATGATCTGCAAAGCACGTTCAGCCAAACCCACTGTTCTCATGCAGTGGTGGATCCTGCCAGGCCCAAGACGGCCTTGGGCAATTTCAAATCCCCGACCTTCACCTGAGAGGAAGAAAGGAGAATGCAGATATGGTCACAGCCCATTTCTTTTGTTATTTACACAAATCCTGAGAAAAGGATGAGCTGCCCTCAATAAAAAATGGCATTCTGGGTAGGAAAAAAGTCAGTTCTGTAATAAGGGTCATCATATATTATAGAACTTTAAAAAAAATTTTTTTTTGAGGGGGGAGGTAATTAGGTTTATTTATTTACTTTTTTTGATGGAGGTACTGGGGATTGAACCCAGGACCTTGTGCATACTAGGCATGCACTCTGCCACTGAGCTACAGCCTCCTCTCTAGAACTTTTGATTTCTATTTTTTTTTAAACCACCATCATTGAATCAAATTTAGGGCCAAGTACCTACTCTGCATAAGTTACTCTGTAAGTGCTACAATGGTTACAAAGGTAGATAAGATACAGTCCCTACACCAGGAGTTCAGAACTAGAAGAGGGGGCAAGGATGCAAGGGATAAGGCACATGGAGAAGAACAAGGCAAAAGGGAGAGGCTGTCTGTTCACCAGGGTGCCTGGCGGCATCTGGGGCTTACTGAGTGGATGGGATGAGGAACACACGAACCTTCCTGAAAGGGGCCGTCGGAGATGTTCTCTGAAGGCTGGGTAGGAGTCCAACAAGCAAGAGGATGGAGTCATTCCAGGCATACAGTGTTTAAAGTTATTTATGCTTCTAATGTGTATAAAAGACTTGAATTCAGGAAGTACTGAGGTTTTATTAACACAAATAGTCAGAAGATCATGTTGTAGGAAAGTCGGTTGTCTGAATTGTATAATTTTTGTACTTAGCTGTGTTTTCAATTGATGTGATACACAAAACTACATCAAACATTTACATAAAACGCTATTATTCTGTAAGAAAATCCACCAAAGGAAAAAAAAATTCCCTTACAACTGGACTAAATAAGAGGGGAAAGTATCTAAATTATGGGAGACTTCGTATCTTTTCCATATTTAAACCTGAAAATATTTTAAAACACAATAACAGAGAATCATTTTTCCAAACTTATCTCACCTAATATTAAATTGGTGGCCGGAACTCGCACTTGGTTAAAATGGATCTCAAAATGTCCTCCGTGGAAATTATCTATGAAACAGAAAATAAAATGTTAAAGAGCAAAATGAGCTGACCAAAAAATAATCACAAATAATTAATCTAATGAAATATAATTACTCAAGGAAAGTGGGATTTAAAGGCGTCATATGTCACAGACATTCCTAGGTAGACCTGAGCCCTGAACCCCCAGCACCGTGCAGCCCAGAAAACACATGAACTGTTTTAGAAATTTTAAGAGATTTTAGGTATTATTTCATCCAAAGTTTTTTTTGTTTGTTTATTTCTTTGTTTGTTTTAACTCACTCTCTGAAGTTCTAGAGCTATGAAAAAGGAAGATGGCTCCATGGTCCAATCAGATTGTTATTTTTTTTATTATTATTGCTGCTGCTTTGACATTTTTTACATATGGGCTTCCAAAGAAAATTTTGCTTAGGAAAAAAAGGGTTTTAATGGTTCAGAAACTGAAAGTAAGAAATGTAGTGCAAGTTTCTTATTTTATCACTGTGGAAATCAGTGCCCAAAGATGTGAAGAACCTGCTCAAAGAGACAAAACAGGCTCAGCATGAGAGGCGAAGCAGGGGCTGGACCTTCAGGTGTGTTTGCTCCCAGTCTAGGCTTACTTGCTGTGTTTGCCTCTTGAAAATTCTGACATGTGACTGAGACTGGGAACATACGCACGCTGTGTCTCTATATCATCCTTCCTCCCTGCCAAGTTCTTGAGATCATCTCATGCTAATTCCACACCCTTTTCCTGTCAGAATAGACATTAATAATCAGCCTTGTCCACGCTGTTTCTTTTGGCCTTGGGCATGGGGAGTTGGAGAGGTGCTGGTGAAATTGTCAAAACTGGAATTTCAAACACAGGCTCTAAATGGAGGGTATGGAGGGTAGCCAACCAGAATTATAAACCCATTTTGGTGGTTTTCAGGCTGTTGCTCTGCAATCCAACAACATCCCATGAACAATTTGCTCCAGGGAGCTGGTTCATCCCCATCCTGCCGACACACTTGGCCTGTGGGTGCGCTCTCCAGCTGCAGCCCACAGAAGGGGATGCCACATGCGCCGTAAAACAGGTCCTGTGTCCACTCCTTGAACATTTACATTAGCCATATTCAATAGTAAAGAGAAGGCCAAGGTCACCACAAACCTGAAGTTCAGTCAACTTTTACACAGCATTTGTCACCTGCTGACAGCCATATAACTTCTTATTTATGTGTTTTTATTTAGTGCCCATCTCCCTGCCACTCCCCACTCTGCGTGTAAGCTCCGCAAGGGCAGAGATCTTGGCCTACTGTGTTCACTAACGTATTCTAAGCTCCTAGAACAGTGCTCAGCATTCAATAAATACTTGCTGGGTGAGTAGCAAAGAAACAATGAACATGAGCCTGAGCAAAAGTATCCTTGCTTCTTAAAACTCCACCCAAGGACCAAAGGAATTAAAAGCTTTGCATTTGAATCAGTCAAATCCCATTGCTTATTAACAGTTCTTGTAGGTTGATTAAGGAAGCTAAACTTGAAAACAAAAATGAATGTTATTTTGGATTACCTAGATTTACTTTTTCCATGTCTGTTTCATTAATCCATCCCCCTGGGTAACAGAAGACTGGCGGGCAGAGTTGCTGTTCCTTGAATACCAATCGGTCCTTTTCCAAAAGCAGACAAAACGTGGTAGAATGCTGTACCACCTCCCTTTTTATTTATTCTATTCTGAACCCCTGACATTTATATTAAGAGCCAAAGGATTTCTAAGAACACATTTCATACATTAAAATGCTATCCATTCTCTTCAGGGTTACTGCATATTCTAGTCTTCCTGGCTTGCCAGTGGACAGACGTTGCTGATCGAGTACTTACCCAGGTAGCCAAAAACTGACAAAGGCCTTATGACTTCTACTCCAGGTGTGTTGATAGGAACAAGAATCATGCTGTGTTGTCTGTGTCTGGTCAAGAGAAATCCAGATGTTAGGAAAAGTTTGCTAAGTGGAAAAATAAAACACATGTTAGGTGGAGTCACAGCTGTCATTTTTTCATGGTTATCATGTAATCATGGAAGCAATGATGTCTGGAAGGGGAACTGTGTAAAAGACACACATCAAGTACATTCCGATGCAGGCTGTGATCTGAACAATAACCATGATTTGAAAATACGTAAAAGATAGTTTGACTGAGGTTCCTCGTTGCTCAGCAGTGGTAACTGGGAACTGATACGCAGTATCAAAGATTTCAAGCCTACTGCCTTGGATTTAAACATCTAATCCCTTAATTACTTACAGACAGTTCTGAAAAATTTTATAGGTCTTGTAATCTGATCCAAACAGCTTTGAGGATTCAGCAACACTTCTTAACACAGGAAATTCCAAAGTGAAGAATGTGTAGCAGCACCCCCTAAAATGTTACTCCTAAATATATGTTTTAGCGAAATAATTGTAAAATAGCTATATGTCACATTTAACCTCATATTTTATACTATTATGATTTGTAAGCCCTAATGGTATATTTTAAGTAAATGAAGTGGATAGCGAGAAAGACTGACTCTTATTCCTCCACAGATTTCTCAATCACTATTGCTATATTACCTGGCTGCCAAGACATTGTTAGTTCTTCCCATAACAATTGCAATTTTGCACTTTGGATTCCCAGCTCCTAAAACCAGGGAGAAGAGGAGAAGAATACATCACAGAAGGAAATTTTCAGTCTGAAATTTCTCCCTAAAAGTTCTCATCCTTCCAAGTTTATCCCTGGCAAAAAACAACTAGGAAGAAAACCCCTGATTCATTAAAAATAATGCTATGTATAAAACTGTGACTCATCCAAGAAAAATAACTAGACAAGGCCAAGAACGGACTCCCTCAGTGAGAGCTGCTGCCCCAAAATAACCAGAATTCGAAGAAGCAGTGACACAGCTGCGGCCCTAAGACAGAAGGACAGCTCTCCGCTCATACCATTTCAGACGTCAGCATGCTCGAAAGGTGGTGAACTTCTAGCATATTTCCTTCTGTTTAGATCTCATATTTCCTGACATATGGACAAGAAGTATATATAACTCATATTTAAAGTATGTAAAACCAGCGGCTGAGAAAGACCTAATTTCTCCAACCGTGGCGTTGGGTGAGGGTGAGTCTGAGGATCCCAGTACCTCTCCCAGACCCCCTCACTTGCCCTAGCGATGTGATGGAGCAGCTGAAGATGATTTACTTGAGCTGTCTACATATATGAGGCTCTGTCTCCACCCTCAGTAAGCCTAGGTTCTCATTTATTGATTTATTAAGGGTTAGAAATTTGAAAATATAAAATTATTCTCATTTTAATGTAAACTTTTACTTTATTGCAGTTTAAGGTCTATGGTAATTCCCCAAAGGGGCCTTCTTGCAAAAAGTACGATTTATTTTCACCAGTCTAAGCACTTCATTCCTCAGGGAAACTACCATTTAACTGCTTTACTGCGTCTAAAACCACAAACAGCTGGATCAAACTAAGTTAAACACATGTACGAAGTCTTAAATCATCAGATTATTTTTTTCCTAACTTCTTGTAAAAAGTGGTTTCAGGAGACTTGAAATCATATGAAGATTAAATGAGAAATGTTAGCAATTATGTCAAATAGTAGAGTAACACCGTAAAATCCTAGGACTTAAAAGGATAAACTCCATGGGACATATTAAAGGACCCTGCAGGGATGTGATCCATGAAATCCAGAATATGGGAAATCTACAAGACAAATAATCCAGTTTCTTCAACAATTAAATTGCAATAAAAAGAAAAAAAGACAGGGAGCTTATAGATGAAAAGAGATTTAAAAAAAATATCAACCAGCAGCAATTTTTAGACCTTATTTGGATCCTAATTCAATTAAATAAAAAGCATTAATGACAATTATTAAACAATTAGAAATGTGAATAGTTACTGGCTATGTAACGACATTAAGTAGTTTTAGATGTGCTAACGGTATTAAAGAGCCCTCACTGAGATATACTCTAAAGTGTTTGTGAAGGAAATAATGTGATGTCTGGGATTTATTTCAAAGTAATATGGGGAGAGGAGGTAATGGGAGTAGGGATGGAGCAAGCCTGGCCATGAGTTGGAAATTGTTGAGCTGTAAAACTATTCAAAGAGTATTCCTGGGAGACCTAAATGTGTGACAGAGATAAAGAAGAAATGTGGGTGCTGTGGGTGGTACATTGAAATGTCTGGAAACAGCGCACGTAACAGTGAACGTGAGGAGTCAAGGAGGGCAGGGCCTGGAGGGAAGAGATGCCTTAATTCTGCAGACTGACAGGGGCCTGGGAAGAGGACACAGTAAGGAAGCAGTGCTAGAAGAAAGGCGATTGGCCGTGGAACCAGAGTGAGCAGAAGTAAAGAAAGAGAAGCGAGGGTAAAGAGAAGGGGTCCACTTTAAACTGTACTGTTTTCAGTCTATGTGGAATTGAGGCTACAAAAGGGGGCTCAATCCAATATTTATACGGGGGCAAATGAAACAGGTGGCAATCTCACAGGCAGGGATCTGATACTTAGCCTGAAAGAGGAAAGTATATAGTGTGTTACAAGAAAACTGAATAAAGTCACTCGGAGACTCAGGATCTGTAGCCTGAAAGCTAGCTTCCCGTCAGCAGACTCTGAGTCCCAGCCCTGCTTCACCAAAAGTTTCCTTACAGAATTCCTATTCAGAAGAGAAACATGGCTGGAAAAAAAAGCCCTGTTAAAAACAGAGAAAATCTCAACCAGCTATCCTTCCTTTTCCCTTAAGTCTGAACAGAAGACCAAAGAGCTGTAGTATGTGAGTCTGCAGCACTGAAGAGAGTGACTGACCAAAATAAACAAACTGTAAAATTCTCCGAGAGAGAGCTCCAGAAAAGAAAAAACTCAACAGAATTACAGGTACAGTTTGAAGGTGTGTGTGTATGAGTAAAGGGGAAGAAATATAATATGATCAAAGTAAATGATGCAGTGAAAGAAAAATGGCAGTTACAGACTCCAGGAAAATAATTTGTAAATGTGCAAGTGAACCATGGTCCAAATATAAAAGAAACTACAGTATGGCGTGAATTTAAGTAATACACAGAGTGTAAATCTATCTTAATTGATGTTGATGCTTAGAAACACTCTTCTTACAATGGCCAAGGTGACAGTACATTCAATCAGTCAGAGAAAGACATGGAATCTACCTAACACACTACTCAAACCAGCACTGAACAGTATTTACATAGCCCTATAAAGGAAGTGTTGGTTTTCAAAGTTTAGAGTCATCCTGTGGTCAACCATGATTATGGTTACAAGATAGAAATAAATGCTACTAATTTTGACAATGTAAAAGCAGAAACTGTGGTTGACGCAAGGTGCAATACGGAAGGGAGGAACAAAAGGTAGAGAAAGGGGTAAGAGCACTCATATGTCTTTATGTTACGAAGCGGAGCTTGAAGAGATTCTGTCAAGTGAGCATGCAGAGGAGAGATTTAGAGACATCATCTAAAAGTTTTAAAAGTAATCAATCAAAAAAATTGAAATAATAAAATAAATACCTACATTATGCAAAGGCAGAGAGTTTTAATACAAATGAGGGAAACTGTTCTTTTCCAAATTAGAGAGTCAATGGGTAGTGTCTAAAATGAATAAACTGGGAGAGAGAAAAAAGCATTTTACCTAAAATTGTAACAGAAATCAGAGAACTAAAACCAGAAACTGTTAGAAGAGTTTTCTCCAGGGTCTGGTGCTGCGGTGTGAGGGGATGGGAACAAGTTATGCTCTCAGATATTTTCAGATTTGTTGCCATTTCTAATTGAATAGTAATAATAACAACTACTGCTTTTAAAAACATTTTTAAAAACCTGCCCACCATCTTGTGAACGAATATGTAGATGCCAATTAGGAGGAGACTGAGAGAGACTTGCTGAGTAAACTGCAGTATGTTTTTTTCTCTTTCCTTATCTCATTTTAATCAGAATATTTAATCTTTGGGCTGTGCAGGAGTTGCTTCCTGCATATAGTTGGACATTTCCCCACTTCTCCTAAATGAAAATACGTAACTCCAGAAATCCTGCACGTACACTCTGCTTTATAAAATGCCTACACTGATAAAAACACTAAAATCAGATTTCATCTGGGAAAGGGAGGGAAGGGGAGGTAGGCAGTGTGCCCAAAATGGGTGGTTCTGTTCATCCCCAGGCTGACAGCAGAATAAGGAAACACCTTAATGACAGAGCTTGAACCATAAGACTGCTTTCTCCACGGCAAAAGCCAATGGATGTGTCAGAACTTGCAGTTCCATATATATCTAACTAACTGGAATAGAACAACATTAAATTGGCCATCAGATGCCACATTGTAACCACAAAACAAATATGTTAAGTAAAATTGTTTATTTCTTCCCAAATATATGACTTATTGTCTTATCCCAGGGGGTAAGAAAAATATGACATATTATGTATGAAATAAAGAGCAAAACCATTTTCTCCATCCTTATTTGCTATGCAACATAATCTTATTACTAAATCCGATTGCTTCAAATAAAATTTAATGAAGTTTTATACTGAAAAGGAATGAGTCTATTTTTCTTTAAAAGAAAAACACAAGCATTTTCATAAATACAAGAGAAATGTAATGTTGTCCAAGTGGAACACTTTACCATGCCTTGAAGAGTCTGCAGTATGTATTCTTATATTAGATAACAAAGGCCTTCAATTCAGGTTAAACATACTTATTTCATATCAACCAATATAAATGGCAGTTTTAGAATTTCTAGAATTCGATCTTCAATATATATGTATGTATGTATATACATATACATAAAGATTTTATTTTAGAGCAGTTTTAGGTTGGCTGCAAAGTTGAAGGGAAGGCACGGAGATTCCCTAAATATCCCCTACCCCCACCACCCTCAGCCTTTATCAGCATTGCTCATCTGAGTGCTGCATTTTTCACAGCTGAAAAATGAACCTACACTGACACATCATAACCACCCAAAGTTTATAGTTTATATTACTGTTCACTCTTTTTTCAAACTGAAGTATAGTCAGTTACAATGGGTCAATTTCTGGTGTACAGCATAATGTCCCAGTAATGCATATATATATACATATATTTGTTTTCATATTCTTTTTCATTAAAGGTATTACAAGATACTGAATATAGTTTCCTGTGCTATACAGAAGAAATTTGTTTTTTCATCTATCTTTATATATAGTGGTTAATGTTTGCAAATCTCAAACTCCCAAATTTATCCTTTCCCACCACCCTTCCCCGGTAACCATAAGATTATTTACTATGTCTGCGAATCTGTTTCTTTTGTAGATCAGTTCATCATGTCCTCTTTTTCCTTCCTTTTCTTTTTCTTTTTTTTCAGATTCTACATATGAGTGATATTATATGGTACTTTTCTTTCTCTTTCTGGCTTACTTCACTTAGAATGACAATCTCCAGATTCATCCATGTCGCTGCAAGTGGCATTATTTTATTCTTTTTTATAGCTGAGTAGTATTCCATTGTATAAATATACCACAACATCTTTATCCTGTCAATGGACATTTAGGTTGCTTCCATGCTTTGGCTATCATATACAGTGCTCCTATGAACATTAGGGTACATGTATCTTTTTGAATTAGAGTTTTCTCTGGATATATGCCCAGGAGTGGGATTGCTGGATCATAGGG